CTCTTTATTATTTCTGAATGTTTTGTCAGGGAGAGATTCTGCTTGAGAATAACTCTACGGGGAACAACTTGAAAAGTGAATTTCTGTAGATGAAGTAATGAGTTCTGTCGAGGATTGAGCTTCTGTACCCAGAGAATAAACTCTACTTGGGAGATAAAATTTACTTACCCGCTCGCGATTATGAAATTCGGTTGGGGGATACCGTTGTCAGGTTTCTGAATGACCCCGGCTGGGAAAGCTACTTCCTGTTTCGGGAAAGCCGACATCAATGCTTTTGAATACTTTTACTCTGTGGGGAGTGTATGTACTGATGATTATGCTCCAAAGCTGTCTATGTCCCAGTACCTGTTGGGCAGAGTAACTGTCGGGTTTAACACTTCTTATTTTTGCCCCTGTTTCTGGAATTACAAATAATAGTCTTTTTATTTCTTATGTAAATTTTTATGAGCAGCAATCATATTCAAATGCATATGTCAAGAATAAATCATTGGACGTTCTTGCAAAACAAAACAGAAAAAGGAAAACTCAAAGTTTCTTGTGAAAATGATTTTGTATTGATTTTTGAAGTTGGCTTGTAATAGGCGTTTTTGTACAAGGAGGATGACGCTCTAGTAAGAGAACGCCGCCGTAAAAATAGAAGCTATACAATTTTGTGTAAAATAAAGCATCTATGTGAAACAATCCCATTGAGTTCCAACTCTGCTATTGCCCTTATGACTTTGAGCGTCTCATCACTTTGCCACTTGGCCGAAGGTTGATTAGATTGATTGGTTCCATCCGAGCTTGATAGTCGATACCGAAGTCTGGTCGCAAGATTATCCAACGGTACATAGTGATACGCTTTACATCCCTAACTTTTTCCTAGACCGCCATTTTGGGTTTTCAGTCCACCGGGATACCCTTTTTTGCCCAAGCTGCCCTTTCAGGTTTTCGGCTTACCGGGTGTACAGTTTTTTTTCATTTTCATCCCTTATTTTTACCCGAACCCTTTTGGTTCGCCGGGAAGTCCTTGTTTTTGCCTAGTCTAGTCAACCTAGTGGGTCTTTCAATTAGGCGTGGTATCTTTTCACTATGTCTGCATTGGTAGGGTGAGGAAGGTCGTCACCATCCATGGTGGTTAGAACCATAGCTCCACCCGAGAAAATGTTTTTAACCACAAATGGCCCTTCGTATGTGGGGGTCCATTTGCCTCTGGATCACCTTCCAGCAGTATGATGCGCTTGATCACTAGATCCCCGACTTGATATTCTTGACGTCTGACTTTCTTGTTAAAAGCCTTGGTCATTCGCTTTTGATACGTCTGACCGTGACAGATAGCAGTAAGTCTCTTCTCATCTATTAGATTTAGCTGATCAAGTCGATTTTGGATCCAGTCATCTTTGTTCAAACCTGCATCCTTCATAACCCTGAGAGAAGGTATCTGGACTTTGATGGGTAAGACTGCCTCCATGCCATATACCAGAGAGTAGGGTGTTGCTCCTGTTGACGTCTATGCTGAGGTACGATATCCATGAAGAGCAAATGGTAACATCTCATGCCAGTCTTTATACGTCATCGTCATCTTCTGTACAATTTTCTTGATGTTCTTGTTAGCCGCTTCAACAACACCATTCATCTTCGACGGGTAGGGAGAAGAGTTATGATGCTGTATCTTGAACTGTTTATAGAGCTCGTTGATCATTATGTTGTTGAGGTTCGTACCATTGTCAGTAATAATTCTCTCTGACACACCATACCGACCGATCAGATTATGTCGGATAAACCGCACCATAACGTTCTTGGTCACAGTAGCAAAAGAGGCCGCCTCAACCTATTTTGTGAAGTAATCAATGGCCACTAGGATGAAGCGATGTCCATTGGAAGCAGTGGGCCTGATTTCTACGATTATGTCAATGCCCCACAATGCAAAGGGCCACAGAGCTGTCAAGACGTTTAAGGGAACCGGAGGCACATGCACCTTATCAGCGTAGACTTGGCACTTATGACAAGTTCGGGAGTGCTGATAACAATCTGCTTCCATAGTGGACCAGTAATATCCTGCCCGTAGGATCTTCTTAGCCATGGTATGTCCACTGGAATGGGTTCCGAATGTACCTTCATGTAGATATCTCATAATCCTCTCTACTTTGCTCATGTATACATACCGTAGTAAGGTAGAGTCATGATTGCGCTTGTAGAGGGTTCCATTACTGAGGAAGAATTTCGCAACGAACCTTCTCAGAAACTTCTTATCATTGACAGATGTCCCTTCGGGATATTCTTGATCCTCGAGATACCTTTTGACTTCGTGAAACCAGGTCCTGTCTGCCACCTCATTGGTATCAATCTCACAACAGTGCGCTGGTTCATCCAACCTCTCAATGGTGATTTGGGGAGCTTCGTTGTCCCACCTGACTTTGAACATATAAGACATAGTAGCTAGCGCGTCCGCTAACTGATTCTCCTCTCGCGGGAAATGTTCAAAAGTTACCTCCTCAAAGTGTGAGAGCAATGTCAGCACGTGCTCTTTGTACCGGATGAGATTCGGATGCTTCGTATCCCATTCTCCTTTGATCTGACTTATTACCAAGGCTGAATCCCCGAAAACGTCCAAGAACTTGATCCTGAGGTCAATAGCATCCTTGAGACCCATTATGCAAGCTTCATACTCCGCCATGTTGTTAGTGCAGTTGAAACATAGTCAGGCGGTGAAAGGAGTATGACAGCACTCAGGAGATATGATTACAGCGCCGATGCCATTACCCAGTGTGTTCGAAGCTCCATCTAAAACCATAGTCCATCAGGATCCCTCTTCGGGTCCTTCATCCGATCCAGGTTCTTCGTAGTCAGTCACCAGCATAATATTCTCATCCGGGAACTCAAAATTCATGGACTGGTAGTCATCCATGGCCTGATGAGCCAAATGATCAGCCAATACACTCCCCTTGATTGCTTTCTGGGTTGTATATTGTATGTCGTATTCAGTTAAGATCATCTACCATCTTGCTATTCTTCCGGAGAGAGCGGGTTTCTCGAAGATGTATTTGATTAAATCCATCTTAGATATCAATAAAGTAGTGTGGGTCAGTGTAGCAATAAAAAATGTAGTGGGGTAAATCGGAGATCGAGCTATTAATTAACTCGTCTCACAAAAGCAAGAGTTACCACCGCGCTTTATTATTTCCAAGGGAAAAGGGAAAACAGCAAAATAAAACCCTAAAATATGCAATATAAAATAATACTTAAAAGTAATGAAAATATAATGTGTTTTTTTTAAAGAGATCTAGAGTGCGGGGGTTGGTTATACAATGAGAAGGTATTAGCACCCAATGCATCTATAGTATCCTATAGGAACCTTTTGAAATATCTGTTTATTAAAATTGTTGTTTGATTAAAATAGTTTGTTTGGCTAAAAATGGGTGCAAATGAGATTTCGAAGATACGACGACCTAATGTAGAAGTTTTGACTTAAAAGGTGTGAGTTTGAAAATTGAATCTTTGGGAAAATTATCTTAAGTTTTAACAAAATAATAAACAAACGAAAGATGAATGAGGGTATTCGCACGATTAGATGAGACGTGTTTGATGACGTGAAGTCAACAAAGTTAAAACATTTCCCTTGGATTTGAGACGGACGAAAGATATAAAGATTAACGATCGATGACAAAATTAATTGAAATGACAATTGAAGAGTTAAATAATGAAGATAAAATTATACTAGCATGCATTTTAAACGATTAAGTAAATAACCAAAATTACATAAAAACTAAATTACAAAAGCATGTATTTTTTAACAATTAAACAAATAACAAGAATTAAATTATGAAACATGTATTTTTTGAATAATTAAATAATAAAAGATTAATAACATATTAACAAAAATTAAATAAAGATTAAATTATAAAAGCATGTTTTTTATGTTGTTATAATAATTATAAACATATAATAACAAGATAGAATATGGAGGAGATAATGCTAAAAGAAATGAAAAAAACGTCCTAGCCTAGACTTGAACCAGTGTCCCTCTTGGATTATTGTTAACTGCCTTGCCAAATGAACTATGCTGTTTATCTATTATATCCATGCTTCTACTAGTAAATAAGGGAATATTGATAAAGATATTGGACCAACAGGCCCAATGGGCCGACCCGTTTGGAAAGGATAAAAAAAAGGTTGGGAAACCCTAATTGTAATTGAGAGGCGCGACTGCTTAACCTTGGGAAGGAAAAGAGATTATATTATTATTGCTATCATCTCCATGCTATCGATTAAAACAAATATGAAACTTCCTCCTTCCCACAAACCTTTATCTCTCTTTTTCCATGTTAACAAAACCCCTTTCTCTTCCAAATTAATTAAGCAATTTTTTACAGAAATTCAACACAGATTTCGCTATAATTCTAAAAATCTCAACATGGTTTTTTTACACACAGATTCAACATATAACTGTCTAAGAGAATAGAGAAAGTGAAAATCAAATATATCGAAATGGAGCTCAAACGACATGGCGAAGCTGAACGAAAAGGAGAAATCACGGTGTTGCTAGCTCCTGGCGGAACAGGGGCGAATAGGGCGAAGGGAAGCTTGTATGGAAATTGGTTGAAGCTGGTGTGTGGAGGGAGTTTGGAGAAGCTTGACGAGAGGTTGATCGAAGATAGATGGTAGAGGGTTGAGTTGAAACTGAGGGAGGCGAATCCAGAACAAGTGGAGGAAGAGGAAACGTGGAAGAAGCCAAGAGCCCGAAGTGAGAGCGAATGTTTGGGCTTCGTCGCAGGGTCGATTGGATAAGGAGGTCTTGGCCGCCGCTGTGAGTCGCAAAGGAGAGAGGATATGGTTTTCACAATCGTCGACGTCGTAGATTGGATAAGCTCTTCTTTTACCTCTGTTTTTTTGTTACCGCTTTGTTTTATTCAAAAGTGCTGGCGATTAATGGATTAAGACATTCTTGTATTTTGGTTTCATTCTGAATTAATTCAACAGGTTTTCTGGTTATGCTGCTACCATGTGACTCACGGACTTCTTCATCGGATCAGAATGCACCGTATTGGTGATGCCTCAGAACCAACCAACCTGAGAGGCAAACAGTTAAGCGAATATATTCCTGCTGGGACACCGTCTAACTTAAGGCCTTCCACAAGAATGATTTCCATGCTTTCCAGAAAAACAAGATGAGACTGAACCAAATGAACATACGCCGCAACGGATAAGTAATCAACTCCTACAAGTTTGATGTCAGTGTTCTCCACCAGCCATTTTGCACCATTCTCCATAAATCCAACATAGCTTGTGTCAAATTCCTTCTTAAACATAAGCTTCCTGTCAGTATTTAATGTTCTGAAGAACACACGGCGTAGATCTTTAGGGATATACAAGGACTTCATCACTTCAACAGTAATGTTGTTATCCCGTTTTGGTAAGCTTGAGGTTGAAAGTTGCTCACGACGATCGATTCGGTTGATTCACGGTTTCAAATGGTAGTCTCGTTTGCAGTTAGAGGGAAGCTAAAGGAAACATGAATCTGAGCTTGTGATAAGGTGTTTTTTCTTCTCCTTGATTCAGTTGAAGCTAATGTTAAAACTGGTTAGTACGTAATTAAATCCTAAGATTATCCACATGTGTTCTCTAACGTATACTTTTTTCAATACAGTGCCAGGAAACTTGTGTCGTCTTTAAACAAGTATATTACAGATCAAAATCTAGATTGGATAATGTTAATTAATTTTAGTAAGTTAAGTTTTTCTAACAGGTTGCAAATTAATCTTAAGGATTAATATTCTGATTTGTTGGTTTTAACAGATTATGTGTATATAAATGATCCAAGAATGAAAAAATTAGCTATGCGAATGAATTTGACAGGCATGGATGTATATGTGAAGAAAGCTTGCAAAAAATAATGGGAAGAAGAATACCTATCGGAGTCTCTCCGATGGAGCTTCAGAAAGAAGAAAAACAATAAGTTCTCCCAACTTTAATCTTCTATGTGTATTTTATGCTCTCCTCTTGCTGTGATTCTTTTGAACAAAAGCTCTCTTTCTGTTTTTTCCTTCTTGCTGAATTTTTGGAACAAAATATCTCTTTCTATTTTTTCCTCTTGCTGAATTTTTTTGTGTTTCTCTTATTGTCTCCTTTTTGCGTTGATGGAGGCCTCTATTTATAGTGAAATGTGTGGGGTTTTAGGGGGGGAAAACAGTAGAGTTTTGAACTATTTTAGGCCCTGTTTTGATGTTTTATGAGATGGATTTTTGAAGTATACATTTTAGTGCAATATTTGGAGTTTTGTAGTCTATTTTTTGTAACAGCAAAGGTGCAAATTTTTGTCTTATGGGCTGCATTTTAGACTATTTTGCAGGGCAGATTAGGACAGCAGCATGGCATGGTCTTTGATGAAATAAGGTTGGAGAAAATGGACAGCATTACACTAAAGAATTGGACAGTTATTGGATTAAAACAGTATTGGAAAAATGGGCAGCATTGGGACTGTTTTGTAGCAAGAATAATAGCTTGATTTTCATGTACAAAATTTGTATTTCTTTTGTAAATTTGTAACAATAAATCCAAAAAATGGTAACATGAATGAACATGTATTCTTAAATATATTCTCAATTCCCTTGTAATTATAAATAACTTTGAATCTTCATATGAAAATGAATCTTGATATGTCTTGATAAAAACATTCAAGGTCTTCCATTTGAATTGGGAAAGAATTGAATAATACTTGAATAAATTGTTGAATGATGAATAAATAATAATGCAAGTCTTAGACTTTAATCTTGCATTTTATAATAGAGATCTAAGAAAAGCACATGAATTGATTTTGTAATCAAATAGAAATCCTCATGTAATTAATCTTGTGATGAACGATTAATTGGATCGAATTCCTTTTCCCAATATCTTCTTGAATAAATGCTTCATGTGTTCAAATAACCATAATATAAATCCACCAAAATAATCACACAAAATAATCTTGAATAAATATTTCACGCGATAAATGATTATTCTTGAATGAGATCTCTTGGTGGCTCCTCTTTAATTATCGCTTGAATTCAAATAAAGAAAATTCCAAGTATTCCGAATAAATTCTTCTAGAACGGTTTTGAATTTAATCATCCCATTTTGACGAAATTCACCCCGTGTCATGAGAAAATTTGCAGATGACTTTTGGTCGAAGTGATCGAAAATGACGAGCATAGCTTGGTTTTCTTGTATTTTAAAATAATATGAAACACACATGAACCAAAGATAGTACTTCGACCGTTCTTTCTGAAAAATTTCAGAGACGCTTGAGACCATCTGTTGGACAGAGTGTGGAAATAAACACAGGATTCTCTGAAATTCTTTTGATGAATCAACTTTTGAGAATTAACGACCAACCGCATTTCTGCCCCGAGACTCGAAACCCTTATTGATGTGCGACGTCTGATGCTCTTCTTTCAGACCTATTTCCTGCACATGAAAACAAAAAAAAACAAAACATACACTTCGTGCTTGATTAGTGGTTAGTCATTCGTAAGATAAAAATGCTCACAACACTCGATAATCTCTACACAGTCAAAGCTTGAAGGCAAACATTCAAAACCTACCATATTCTGTGACCTTGATGTATAGATAAAGTAATGCAAATGAAGCAGGGATCTTAGGTCAAAAATTGGGGTTTGACAGCTGCCCCTATTGAAGTTTCTTCTATCCGGAGATATGAAGATCGAAATCTTCGTCTCGACGAGATTGAAGGTACTTAAATACATAATACACAATTTTTGCCCTAAGATACCGCCATTATGTTTATGATATGAATGTAGTATTTGAACTTTATGTAGAATGATACTGTATGAGACAAAATAATGTTGGAGAAACTAAGCACAAATAACCCATAGGAACAAAGATTATACACTACTGGGGAAATGAGCCATCGACTTCGAATGATAGACTCTTAACGGAGAATAAAATTTGAGAGAAGACAACTTCTGACCCTAACAAAGAAAACGCCTTGCATCGGTCACGAAAATAAAAAGATTATTAACCCAAGATGATGGTGAGTTCACAACTCAAGGTCAAAATAGACAAAAGATGTGTCAACTTTTTCTGATAGTGAACTACCAACCTCTAAAGGTAGAGATTCACAACAAACTTCTCTATGGGACTTTTCCGGAGAGATACCATTTGATGCTGAAATAATATATGGTTGTAGATACACAAGTTACTCAAATATAGAAGCCGCCACTTGCTGTCTTCAAAATATATCAATAAACACACAAGTTGCTCAAATAGAGAGGCCGTCACTTTCTATCTTCAAGGATGTCTATAACATACAAGCTGCTCAAATAAAGAAGCCACCACTTGCTTCTTCCAAGAAAACTATACGCCCAAGTTGGTCAAATAAAGAGACCGTCACTTGTCATTTTCCAAAGATGTCAATAACGTACAAGTTGTTCAAATAAGGAAACCGTCATTTGTCATTTTCCAAAGGTGTTAATAACGCACAAGTTGCTCATGAAGAGACCGCCGCTTATCATTTTTCAAAGATGTCAATAACGCACAAGTTGCTCATGAAGAGACCGCCGCTTGTCGTTTTCCAAAGATGTCAATAACGCACAAGTTGCTCATGAAGAGACCGCCACTTGTCGTTTTCCAAAGATGTTTCAGAAGAAAGTTGTGATAACACTGTCAGGGAATAAAATTCTTCTTCAAAGGGAGCCATGATCAGACCCTTCCTGAGGAGATCAGATACTTAAATGTGCAAAATAAATGAACCATTCATCTAGGTTGCCTAGCCCGGAGAAAACTATGAGATAGCTTATACAAGAGACAAAACTCAATCTAGGAATAAACCAGAGAGAAGACAGTCAAACAAGACTCCACCCAATGAGAAAATAACCCAATTGGGGATTCACCTTATTCAGAGATGGATAAGGGAGGCTAAATCAAAAATTCATCCACGAGGTAGCTCAGCTGGGGAATTATAAAGGAAGCACATTTTCTTCCTAAGTTAACATTCTACTTGGAAAGAACAGGTACGCTGTTTGAATAACCATAAACAAGGTATATGACCCAAAATCAACGACAAATGTGAATGTGTATGCATGATATAAGTGTAAATGAGTAAATGAATGTCATGTGTATGCTGACAAAATAGATAGAGGAAATAAATTGAAGATGACAAGATGTCACAAAATAATTAGATACTCGGCCAATCTCAAAGAGATGAAAAATAACTGGAACTGGGACAAAAGGCAACGTCAGAGCGTATCATACTACAAGTCCCAAGCCTTTCTGGGGAGAAAGGTATTCATATCCAATATTCCAACACCAATAAACTACTGACATGATACAAAATGTATTACACTTCAGAAATTTGTCCAATTAGAGATAACCGAAACAAAGCTTAATTGAAATTGCTGGGGAGTCACAAAGTTTAGTACTCTACTAGAAACGCAAGTTTACACAACCAACACCTCATGATGATTTTGAAAGAAAACATGTTCATCATACAAGGATGAATTACTGTATTGTTTTGCATTTCATGGCTTAACCATCCTCTGAGCAACTGTTAATATTCCTTCCAGTATTCATGACACATTTCAAAATAGAAATACCTTTTAACTTTGTTTCAAATATTGCCATAAAAGCTAAAATTTTGCCCACAAAAGATAAATGCTCAAATTTCATTAATAAGATGGTAGTTCTCTAACAATGCGACTCCAACGGTTTACAAAAGTTTGGGAAATACTACATGAAATAAAAAGGTTACACAAAAACAATGATCACTATTCTCCCTAACAACTTCGAATTCTGAGATGTGCTCAAATGCCATGACCGGTTTGACCAAAAGCCTGCCTAAGCTGTCCCTTTGGGTTTTCAACTTAGCGAACTGTTAACTCAAACTTAGGCGAAATATTTCTTGACTGCATCGGCATTCACGGAGCGCAGGAGTTCTTCACCATCCATACTTGTGAGAATCATGGCGCCTCCAGAGAAAACCTTCTTAGCCACATACGGTCCTTCATAATTCGGAGCCCATTTTCCCCTAGAATCAGGTTGGAAAGCTAATATCTTCTTGAGCACGAGGTAACCTTCTCTGAATTCGCGTGGTCGAACCTTCTTATCAAATTCCTTCTTCATTCTTTACTGATATAGTTGACTGTGACACAACGCTGTCAATCTATTTTCTTCAATTAAATTTAGCTGATCATATCTACTTTGACACCATTCAGCCTCAAAAAGTTTAGCTTCTATCAAAACTCTCATAGACGGGATCTCAACCTCCACGGGGAGTACTGCTTCCATGCCATAAACTAGGGAAAATGGGGTTGTGCCTGTTGAAGTTCAAACTGAAGTACGGTACCCATGCAGAGAAAACGGAAGCATTTCATGCCACTCTTTATAA